GAGCGTGAAGCTGCGCCGGCGCCCCGCGGCGCCAGCTCGGCCCTCGCGGAGGCGCTGGCCGCGCGCTGACGGCGCTCCGCGGGCGGCCGCCGAGCGGGGCCCTGTCCGGAGCAAGTCCGGCACCTGCGGCCGGCCGGCGCCATGGCCGCCGGCGCCGCGTCCCGCCAGTACCCGCTTTGTTGCGCTCTGCCCGCGAGCTCGTCCAGCAGCCGACCTGCTGTCTCTCCCACGGACAGCGTCTTCCTCGTGGTCCTTGGGAGCGCAAGCTGCGCTCCGCTTCTTTCGGCCAACAACGTCTGGATTTTCGCTTCCGGGGAGCATCACGCTTCCTTTGCAGTTGGCACAGGATGAAGCGTCCCGAGCACAAGCGAGTTACCTCCCGCCCCCGTTGTTTTTCTTTTGTTCTGTTGGTTGAGCTGGAGTCTCGCCCTGTCGCCCGGGCTGGAGTGCAGTGGCACGCGCACGGCCACCCCGGCCTCCACCTGCGGCTTAGCGGGTCCTTCCGCCTCCGCCTTCCACGTAGCTGGGACTACAGGCACGCCCCACCATGCCCGGCTAATTTTCTTTTTCTTAATTGTAGAAATGGGGTCTCGCCAAATTGCCCAGGCTGGTCTTGAACCCATGAGCTCAGGCCATCCTCTCACCTCGGCCTCCCAGAGTGCTGGGATTATAGGCATGAGTTTTCCCCCCATTTTTAATGCTGTATTCTATTTTATTTTATTTTACCATTTTTTTTTGAGTCGGAGTCTCACTCCATCGCCCAGGCCAGAGTGCAGTGGTGCACTCACAGCCACCCTCACAGCCACCCCAGCATTGACCGGCTGGGCCCCGGCGATCCTTCTGCCTCGACCTTCCAAGTAGCCAGAACTGCAGGTACAGGCATGTGCTACCACGCCCGGCTAATTTTCGATTGATTGTAACGATGAGGTCTCGCCAAGCTGCCTGGGCTGGTCCCAAACCCACAGGCTCAGGCAGTCCACTCGCCTCGGCCTCCCAAAGTGCGGGGAGGAAAGGCTGAGCCACCGAGCCTGGCTTCATGCTGTATTTGAGAGGAAGAATCTGCATCTAGGTCGACGTTGGCTGCTTGCTCCCACCTGTAAGTAGCAGTCTTAGATCAAGTTCCCAGTGGCAGCACCGGGGGGAGTCTGCGGTTTTTGAGGATGACCGGCCAGCCCCACACCCCCCTGGGTGCCGCCGGATTCCACCCTGTTTTCTGGGAGTTTTTGACTTTGGCCGTTACTTAAATCTTCTGAGTCTCACCGAGATTTTTGTGTTTTTTCTTTTGTAAGAAATCAAGAATGCCACACCCAGAACTGCACAAATACTTGACTAGTGGGGTTAGAGTAAATGCAGCAATGCAAGCAGCGGATCAAAAGGCGCGCTAACATTTCTCTCGTGTCAGTTCTGGAAACCCTCGACCTCTTAACGGGACCCAGTTTCCTTTTATTAAAAAAACCAACAACTCAGAGTTGACTTTTTCAACTCTGTAGATCCTGTTGAATTCGGAAGAAATTGCAGGCGATCTCCAGCTTGAGTTTCAGAAGTTAGTTTGTAAAAGAAGGGAAGCCATGATCTTTGACTTGGCTGAAAATGAAATAATCTCCTGTTTGTGTGAATTTGTGCGAATATTTCCCGTAGGAACAATGACACAGGAAAAGCGCGGGCTGCCACTCGACCTCTGTTCAACTCTGCTTTTATGGAAAATCTTGCCGTCCTCGGCCCCAGAGACCACCCCCCTTCCCTCACATGCACTGCATTTTTCAAACAAGCTTTGGTGTGGATGATCCGACAGCAGAACGGTGGCATCTAAAAGATCAGAGGCCAGGCACGGTGGCTCATGCCTGTAATCCCAGCACTTGGGGAGGCTGAGGACAGAGAGTTGAGCCCAGGAGTTTGAGACCAGTTTGGGCAGCATGATAAGACCTTGCCTCTATGAAAAATGAGAAAATTAGCCGGGTGTGGTGGCATGTGCCCTAGACCCAGCTACTTGGGAGGCGGAGGCAGGAGGATTGCCTGAGCCCAGGAGGTTGAAGCTGTGGTGGGCATGCCACTGCACTCCAGCCTGGGCAGCAGTGAGGCCCCAGCGCAGAAAATGAGATATCACGGATCCCAGACTCATCCTCGTCTTCAAGGAGCTGGATGTCTGGGAGGTGGAGCGAAGTGGGAAGAGCTCCAGACGAAAGGAACAGCAGGGCCAAAGGCCGGGAGGTTCCCGGCCCGCCTGGCCGGGTGGAAGCCACCGGAGAGGCGCCCGGCCCGGCCGGGGACGAGGGCGGTGCAGGGGGCGGG